GCAGGAGACTCGCTTGAGCCCAGGAGTTGGAGGTTGCTGTGAGCTGTAATGCCACGGCACTCTACCCAGGGGGACAGCTTGAGGCTCTGTCTCAAGAAAAAGATAAAAAAAAATAAATAAATAAAAATAAATTAAAAATAAATAAATAAATAAATCAAAATACAGGTGGGCAGCACCTGTGGCTCAAAGGAGTAGGGTGCCAGCTCCATATGCCAGAGGTGGCAGGTTCAAACTTAGCCCCTGGCCAAGAAAAAGAAAAAATTTCAAAATACAGGAAAATACATTGATCATAAATTGTACTTTTTTTTTTTTTATAATCCCAAAAGTTCTACAGAACTTCACAGTTCTGTGGTATTATTAGTATTGTACAATCTTATAGATTTAGGTATTAGAAAATAGGCTACACCTACAAAGATCGCCATAATATATGCAGGAAGCTCTCAGAAAAATTTCCCAATATTAGACCACTTTCCTTTTCTATCACCAATTAAAAAAAAAGTAACACAGGCTCAGCACCCGTAGCTCAGTGGTTAGGGTGCTGGCCACACACACTGGGGATAATGGGCTCAAACACAGCCTGGCCCTGCTAAACAAAAAAAAAAAATAGCCGGGCTTTGTGGCGAGCGCCTACAGTCCCAGCTACTAGGAAGGCTGAGGCAAGAGAATCACTTGAGCCCAAGAGTTTGAGGTTGCTATGAGCTGTGACACCACTGCACTCTACCGAGGGCAACATAGTGAGACTCTGTCTCAAAAACAAAACAAACAAACAAAAAAGTAATGCAGAAATTACCTCCAAACCAGTAAATTCCAAATGAAACAGAAATGTACTATGCACAATGTAACAACTTTTCCTCCCTAAAACTAATTATCTTGTCGGGTAGATAACTACGGCATAAGCAGAATGTACCTACCAATTTATAAAGTAGTACAAGAATTTATTTCTTATAGGAGAGGAAGAGATGTTTTTCTTTTAATAATGACTTCAGGCTACGAAATGTGAGACTAAATATAGAAGTTGAAAAAAAGAGAAATGCATTAGTTGCTGCTGATGAGAGGATGAGTCTCTAGCTCCACTACAGAAAATGAGTAAAATAAAGGTATTTTAAAATAACCTCACAGCAAATTCATACATTTGCCAAAATATCTTTAAACCTTGGCAGAGCAAGAAAAAACACTGTACATTTAGTAGATTCAATCTCACTAGTCTAATTTTGATCCATTTCTACATTACTATTCATTTGTTGTTATGTTAAGTGGTGAGCCAATAAAAACATTAGAAAGTGGCATGAATACCAGAAAACCACACCCTAGAGTTTTAGTATTTCTGCATATAAGCCTGGGTCAATTAATAAATACTACTGTATTCCTTCTTTATGATGTCCTTTTTTTTTTGAAACACAGTCTCACTTTGTCACCCTTGGTAGAGTGCCATAGCATCATAGCTCACAGCAACCTCCAACTCTTGGACTCAAGCCATTCTCTGGCCTCAGCCTCCAAAGTAGCTGGGACTACAGGCACCCGCCACAACACGTGGCTATTTTTAGAGACGAGGTCTCACTCTGGCTTAGGCAGGCTGGTCTCAATCCTGTGAGCGTAGACAATCTACTCACCTTGGCCTCTCAGAGTGCTAGGATTACAGGTGTGAGCCACAGTGCCTGGCTAGTGATGCCCTTTTTAATTTTCCCCTGCTCTAGGTTAAAGTAAAAGTTAGAAATGGTCAACAAGAATGAGAATGTATGTAAAGTCAAATAAAGTCTTCAAAAGCAAGTTATTATTTTTAATTTTATTTAAAGGGAATGCAAGGGAAAATACAACCACGAGAAGTTTACATAGTAGTTACACTTGTGTGATTAATCATGAAAAAGTATTAGACTTAAAATTCAATTGAGGGGTGGCGTCTGTGGCTCAAGGAGTAGAGTGCCAGCCCCATATACTGGAGGTGGTGGGTTCAAACCCAGCCCTGGCCAAAAACTGTAAAAAAAAAAATTCAATTGGGTAACTTTAGAAATCAAATTAACAACTCTATTGAGATAGTTAACAAATATACTGCATGTAATTAACAGGTCCAAGAGACAGGTCTTTTCCATTAGATGAAATCTAAAAATACACATATAACATAAACTGGAATGAGAATATTCACATAAAAAGAATTCTTACAAAAAGCTATCATTTTCCTTTTAAGAAATTTTCTTTATTAATCACTTTTAGAGACTTTACCTAAAGGTATTCTTTGTGCGCATTAACGAGTTTTATTTATAAATGTACAATTTACACAAAAATTTTGCATAGATTCTCAAATAGTTTATGAGGTATACAAAACTTAATAGTCATCTCTCAAGAATCTACATTAGTTGGCTTGGTGCCTGTAGCTCAGTGAGTAGGGCGCCAGCCACATTCACCAAGGCTGGTGGGTATAAGCCTGGCTCGGGTCTGCTAAACAATGACAACTGCAACCAAAAATTAGCTGGGCATTGTGGCAGGCACCTGTAGTCCCAGCTACTTGGGAGGCTAAGGCAAGAGACTCCCTTAAGCCCAAGAGTTTGAGGATGCTGTGAGCTGTGATCCAACAGCACTTTACCCAGGGTGACAGTGACACTCTGTCTCAAAAAAAAAATGGGCAGCACCTGTGGCTCAGTAGGTAGCGGGCTGGCCCCATATAAGGAGGGTGGCAGGTTCAAACCCGGCCGCGGCCAAATGCAACAAAAAAATAGCCGGGCGTTGTGGCGGGCGCCTGTAGTCCCAGCTACTCAGGAGGCTGAGGCAAGAGAATCGACTAAGCCCAGGAGTTGGAGGTTGCTGGGATCTGTGATGCCACGGCAGGCACTCTACCGAGGGTGATAAAGTGAGACTCTGTCTCTATAAAAAAAAAAAATTAAAAGAGAAAAGAATCAGGTGGCACCTGTAGCTCAATGGGTGGGGTGCTACTACCCAAGGGTGGTGGGTTCAAACCCAGCCCTGGCCAAACTGCAACAAAAAAAAATAGCTGGGCTTTGTGACAGGCACCTGTAGTCCCAGCTACTCAGGAGGCTGAGGCAAAAGATTCACCTAAGCCCAAGAGCTGGAGGTTGCTGTGAGCTATGACACTACAGCACTCTACCAAGGGCAATAAAGTGAGACTCTGTCTCTATTAAAAAAAAAAAAAAATCTGGGCTCCATGCCTGTGGCTCAAGTGACTAAGGCACCAGCCACATATACCTAAGGTGGCAGGTTCGAGTCCAGCC